TTTCTTTCTATACACGCTCCTTCGGACGCTACCGTCAGGTCTACGGGTTAGGTGGACGTCCAAGAAAGGGAGCGAACCTGCTGTTTCCATCTCCAACGTGAACTGCATGGATGGATGGATGGGCTTGATTGACTGCATTTAACAGTGCGTCTCTATCGGTTTCGGCTGTGGCGATCACGAAGATATCATACACGTAGCGACCATTGTGCTTTAACTTGTGGATCTGATCGCTTAGTTGAATTTTTTCCAGCTTGCTCATGAATATGTCAGCTAGTGCCACCTGGTTGGAATACTAGCTGTTGTGCGGCTGCTTGCGTTGCTCGTGAATGAAACCCAAAGCCTAGCGAGATGAGTGAGTTTCGTAAGCCATCAGTGAACATTTATCCACGAGTGTCAATAGCTCGTGGCTCAACGTTAGACTTCTGATCAAAAGGCCACAAGCTTGAACCTCGGGTGGTGCACCACTTGGAGTTGGTTCTGACTGGCTGACAACGGCTAATGAGTCAGAAAGGGACAGTCTCCCTTGTCTTTGCCGGCATTGCTTTATGTATTTAATTTTGTGAACTTAACGATCACATCCTAGACACAGTGCTTTTATTAAAAGTACTGTCCATTGGATAGTATGTATTTGCCTTAACGGGTTTTCCACCCTTCGACATTTTTTATATTCCTCCAGTAATTTTCTCGTAAGCTTTCTGAGCTCTGAAATCGCTTTGCCTTTAGGTTTTTCTGATTTTTTGGGAATAAAGGAAGTCGTATAAGACTATGCTGGGCGATTAGGTCGGTGAGAAACCATTGTCATGCCGTTTTTTGCCAAAATTGGTTGGTTTGAACGTTGTGTGCAGGCGCCTTGTTATAAAAAAACAGCTAGTGTCCTGACCATCTAAATGCTGGTCCATTTTTTCTCAGGCAATCGCGTTAGCTTTTGCATATGGTAATGTCGGTTCACTGTGGTGCCATAAAGAGCATCTCCAGCATGCACGCTTCAGTTGACATTTTAAAAGCAACCCAGTATGAGCACACTGCTCCTCAAAGTTTATCCTCTCAAAATCGCCAAAGGTGGCGAGCGTTACCCGTCCGCTGCAACGACTCTTACTACTGTCCAACTGGCTAGATTATATTCTCCAGGAATGCAGTTATCGCGCATTCACGATTTCTGCATATTTCGCACTACCAGATGCCTCCAGATCTCAGTCGGATCTTGTGACTTGATCGTGACAGGTTGTCTTATGAACCAACCTGATTAGAGGACTTTCGGTGCGCCAAAGCTTCGAAAACTTTCCAAACGGAGGTTTGGCCCGTGGCAAAACACCGGAAAAGTAACTAGACACCTGCGCTACTTTCCAGGAAAACTAAAGTTAGTGTTAGGATTAGAAAACAGGAATATTTGCCGCTCCTGGCATTTTTCTCAAAGCCATCTGCCTTAATAGTGACACTGATTGAGCGTCCTTTTTGAGTGTTGATTAATATATTTTTTAGTTCGCCTGACTACCAAGGAAAAGCACAAATAACTGGAGAAGCTAAGAATGAACTGTCCCAGTCTTGGCTGTCATAACCCACGACGAATTGGGCATTCAGTTCGCGAAAATGCATGGAAGCAACTTGGGAAACTAGTCTAGTTCTTGTTCACCCTTTTATTTTGAAAAAAATGGTTTACTTAAACAATGTAAGTAGTACTGTCAGAGAGGCAACGATGGGCTGCCCATTTCTGACTTATCAATCGTCGTCCGCTAAAAATGCCCAAGCTCAGGATTAGCCAAGCCATTCCTAGCGAATACTCTCGATCACAACCAACAGGAAAACATACTGTTTGCTCAATGTTGAAGCGCGGGACTTAGAAACCCGCAATAACAAAAAATCGGGTAACAAATCCGTAATCATGGTAACAGGAAGTCGACGACGACTCATAACCTAGAAATAATTATTCCGACCCCCCACTCCTTTATCCTGTGTATATTATGGATAACTATCCGACTGCCTCTGCGGACTCCAGATTGAGCGGCAAAGTGCATGGGGACGAACACATCCACCAACCTGATCGGTGAGCACCTCTTCTCACGATAAAAAACTGTCTACTAAAACAACTCTAGTAGCACTTACAAATAGGAAACGTCATTATTTCGACCAAGCGTATTTTCCATTCTATCACGGGTTACAAAGAAATCAGAAAGGTTTCGAGTATTTTAAGTGTTAACACCTTTCTTTCGCCTCGGCAGCTCATCAGGAGCCAAATTCGTATGCACTGAGCCGCAAAGGCGGAGCAGAGCCGTGACTGCATTCTCTAGTTTGCAACAAGGCCAAGATATGGCCGCGATCCTCAATCGTGCAACTGGAGACCCCGCACCAACGCCACCACCATCTCTCCACCCACGATCCGTGCCTTCTGAGGGCTTTCCGAACGCTGCCCGGGAGGGCAGAGCGATGGCTTGCGTCTTCGGTCGAGAGCAGCTTTCAGCCAACTACGCTGCCGAAGATGAATACCACTACGGCCCACGTGTGAAATATGAGGTAACATAATCAATCTGGTTT